ATTTTTATATTTTAAATTAAATTTTCATTTTTCATTGTAAGAATCAACAATTAACAAAATAAATTCTTAAATTTTAAATTAAATTTTAATAATATTATTGAAAGTTAAAATTCTAATTTTTGTTAAAAGTTAAGGCTGATACTCAATGTTCATATATACTCCTTAATCCTTACTATAAATTCATGAACTAAATTTGATATAAATAATTTTTTTATAATATTTTATTAAAATAATATGGCTTTGTGGGCTTAGTTTACCTTTACTCCTAGTCAGGCCATCATCTTTTTCGCAGCTCTACATTGTTGCTTGCAAAGTAGAACCGGGAAGAGAGAGGAGAAACCCTGATGGCACCGAAGCAAAGGGGATACCAAAAGTGACTCGGAATCTCAATCTCGTAAATCCCAGAAGTTCTATCCTACCGATGACGTGCAGAAGCCGCTCCCCAACAAGCGGAAGCTTAAGCCTACCAAGTTAAGGAACACACCCAGTAACCATGTTATTACATGATTGTTGTTGATATGCTAATATGGATGGAGTCGTTATCTCTTTAAATGAGATAGGATAAATCACCTAAATTTATTTAGAATCAAAAGATTGGTTAAGTACGAGAAGATGTTAGAGATTCCGCAATTTCAATATAAAATATACTTACTACATATCTTAATTTTAGGTATTTTTAATTTATTCAAAGAGTTTAAATTTACCTTAATTCAAGGGAAATACTAAATTTTGCATTCCTACTTGAAGCTTTTACAAGAAAGGAAGTATTGAGCTTCTCATCCAATAGTTAAAAGACAATCAAGTATTCATTTAAGATACAGTAAATAAATCAAAAGTAATGATTTTCCTCATGGAGACAATACCGAACGTACCATACCAAATGAATACCCAAACAAATAATCAATATGAAGAAAAAAAAAAGTGCACGTCAGCGAACCAAATTCCTTAATAATTCAAATAAAATTTCATTGCCTTGAGCAAGTTTTGCCTGATTACTTTATTAACAATTAAAAAAAGAAAAAGAAAATCAATCCCTTTCAAAACCAAACAAACTGCATCTCGATAACATGATTTAATAGAGAGCAAAAATTTAAAAAGTACATATATATGCTAAAAATAATTAGGGCATAACTTGGACCATCATATAAAAGTACGGACAACTTCAACTATTCCAAAAAAATAAATTTCTGTCAGGGAAGCATGGAGAACATGAAGACTATCAAATCACTACATGTCACTTGATACTCACAAAATCCGTATGAAATCCACAAAAAAGAAAATAAATAAAATAAAATGAAATGAAAGCATACAAAAGGAAGAATTTAAAACATGAACAACTCGATCAATATACTAATTCAGAAGCAAAAATTAAAATTCAACATAAGGTCAAGAGATTAGAAATTTGACAAACTAATACAGAATTAAAGATGTACTAAAAAAAATAAAATATATATATATAGAATTAATGGGATATAACTATATTCAAAGGAGAAATGAATCAAGTACCTGTAGTTGAATGAAAAAGAATGCTATGTTTTATTACCATATATCTCTCTGTTACAGAATTTCTGGAATAGATTTTTCCGCTTTCTTCTTCTATCCTATCTGTGACTAATTTTGTGAAGGCAATATTTTGTTTAGAAAAAAATAATGAAAACTCAGGAAAAAAAATTAAAATAATTAGTTTGGAGTCACTTTTTTTGGAATTTTCCTTTAGCGTCTCACTTTCACATGGGGGCCTCTGTTGTTCCTCGTAAAAAATAAATAGAAAAGAAAATAGACAAAAGAATAGCAAAACAATTAATTAAAGATGAAAATAAAAAGTAGAAAGATGTCACCAAAAGTATGAGAAGTTTGAGTTGAGGCGTGGATCAATCACTCTTTTTAGGACGTTTCGTGCCACTGGTGCAGCAGATTTTTATGGTCACGCTGCCCCCAGGATACAACAGCCCAACCTCCTTGTTGTATCTTTACAAGTACTGCACTCTCGTAAAGAAAGCTCTACCCCATCACCTTTTCCTTGCCTAAAGAGAGTTTGTATATTGTGTTTGTGAAATAAGAGTGCAGATCATAAAATTGTATCAAATCTTTTTGGTAGAAATGGAGGCTGCCTATTTATAGGCTTTCCCAAATGTAACTGAAGTTTATTGCTTTAAAACATTTTAAAAAGCAAAAACGCATAGCCCTTTCAATAAGACAAAACGCATGGCTGTTACCATTTGATTCCTTCATTAAAATATAAGCTTGTAACTGATGAGTTACTTGATAGATTTAAGTTTTTTTAAAGCAATGGATTTGTAACTAATTGGAGTTGCAAAACGGTTTGCAATTTTTTTTTTTTAAATTAAAATCTCCAACATTCCCCCTCCATTTTAATTTAAAATAAAAGAAACTTAGAAGATGAAAAATATATAGGCAAGGATGGATTACTACGCATAATAGAGGTAGCAATGCCTTGAACCTCTACTTAGTGAGTCAATGATTCCTATCCCAAAGTCACTAGTGAGCAAAGTCTTGAACTAGGACTACTTAGAGGATATAGGAGATCATATTACACACATTATAATCCAGGTGTTAATTTGAGCTTGGTAAGCCGGCACATTACGGCCTTTGTGCCTAATCCTGGTATTCATGGATGATCTAGAGAATAGCCCTTTTCTCATAGGAGCGGCCCCACTCCGACATCCATATAGGTGAAATTTGTCAAGGATGCTCCCATAACTAAGACACCCCACTCTATGAGCTACAAATTTCATTAAGAGTATAAAACTCAACCCTCAATTCGTTATGGGATCGATGCATCCTCACCTTAGGAATGGGATCGAAAAAAATTTTTCGTTAAATATTGATACATCTTTCAACAACGACTTCTCTATGATTCGTTTTTCCCATTCGAAACCCAATTCTTAGAATTCGGGTCGGGTATCCTCATAGGAAGTTCTACATTATTGGGCTTGCATCCCATTCCCCTCGATGAGCACTAGACCTTGGACTATAATCATAGATTTTCCTCCAACTTTTGTTTTTGCCAAAGGCCTCGTTGGTGGTATAGTGGGTAACGAAGAGATTTAACTCATTCTTATTCTCATTTTTTTTCACATCAACCCACTTGTTTGCTAGCTCATAAGATTCACATTCATATTCTCAAATTCTCAATTCATCTGGAATATCGAGCTAGTGAACCACCTTTTTTCTTTCCATACATGTATTTAAGAATTTTTAACTCAAACACCATTGTACCTTGTTGTACAATAGGAATGTCCATCACATACCCCTTTCTCAAGTGCCTTATTATTTTTTTCATCATACACCATTATACCATAATTGTATAATAGGAATGCATATCACATTTATTTTGTTAAGCACCATTATACCTTATTGTATAATAGGAGTGCATATCACATTTACTTTCTTAAGCACCATTACACCTTATTGTATAATAGGAATGTTATGCAAAATCTCAATTAGGCATCATTGGTCTCATCACCAATAATAATATATAGGGATATCACAATCCTCCACATTAAGAGCATCTCAAATATGTGATTTTTCACATTTCTCAAATAATTGAGTTCATGAAGAAACTCATTTTCTCACAAAATTTCCATAAGAGCATATCAGCTCATCTCAAATTTTATCGCCACAAAATGGCTCCTCGGTCACGTAAGCTTAAAAGTTTAACTTACGTTTCCGGAGTATATCAACCCAAATATCAAGTCCATTTTTTTTTTTCAAAATTGTTGCATGGACGAAATGGGGTAGCTCTCTTCTTTAGTTTTTTCACTTGGTCAAAATTTTCATAGACCATTTTCCATGGTTCCTAAATGAATAAGACAACACAACATTCACTAAAGATTTGTCAGAGAGCAAAAATAATCAACTAACAAAATATATGATTATAAAAAATATTTTACACATAATGGCATAACCAATGCACTTAATATTTTACTAGCCGTTGGAGTTAAATTACATTCATGTTGAAATTTATTAGCTGCAAATACAACTCCTTAAAGATTGCATCATGGCATAATAGTTTCACATGCTAGGTAATTTTTTACTCTTTTTTTTTCTTTTTACTATTGAAAATATCTCACAAATTAAGAGTACGATAGCAGCAAAAGGAGCACACATCTGCACGCATTAAATTCATAACAATTTCCATTTATGATATTTCAAGCCGTTGGAAATTAAACAAACTAATAATATCATTAAGCTCCAACATGTCATGATAAAAATATGTATATTCATTTGCAAGAGCAACATATGAAAGTAATCGGGTTAACACTATTTTTTTTTTTTTT